ATCACTTTAATGTGCACAGTTATCTAACGTGGAACAGAAATAACTTTTATATTAAAATTTTTGTTAAGAGTGCAACACAAAATTCACTATTTTTGAAAGGACTAGATCTCTGTAAAACACTCCCAGAGAAAATTAAATCTTTAACTAAATTTAAAACGCTGTTAATTTTTCCCAGAAATACTAGTCAGTTTGTATTATCTATATTTTGACTTGTATATTGTGATATTAACAAATTAGCTAAATAAAGGAAATAATAATAATAATACCCTGCAGTTAATGCTATTACTGAATTAGACCTTTCTTTATGCTCAAACTGCTTGCAGGAGAGGTGATAGGAGTTGCACAAAAAGTATACAGATATGTCTGTTCACTCACAGTGCCTGTATCCTATGGCTCATACACTTTTTCCTAATCTGTATAAAAATCATTAGTAAGAAGAATGACAGAAATACGAAATAAACTAAAAATAATGATAGAAATCTACTAAAAAATAATGACAGAAACCTACTAATCATAAAAACAATTGCAAAGCTTTGGAATAAAACCGAATAAATCATTTTTTATGAAAATTAAGTTAGCAGCGGATTTCAATTGACTTATGGGACTCAACTAGACAGTTATATGCATTTTTAACTAATTTAAAATCTATTTTTTGCCATAGTTGCCGCATAACCCTGAGGGACTCTCCAACTTTCATCTAAAACTTGAGAATCCTTACTAGCTCTTACAATTTGCTTATATGTAATTCTCCATATTTATATCATTTATTTATGTTTTTCTAGTGGATACAGTTGTGAAGATCACTTTTATGAAAGTGATACATTCTTACATTCTTGGGAGGTATTAGCAGAACTTTTAAATGCTCCTTTATGTAAAGATATTCTCATAGATGTAGGCATGCCTGTGATGCATAAAAATGTTTGTTACAATTGTAGAGTAATATTTCTAAATAAGAAGATTCTTTTGATCAGGCCCAAGAAGATTTTATGTGACAGCGGAAATTATAGGGAATCCAGGTGGTTTACTTCATGGAAAAAAGTAAGTTCTAACATTTATGTTCAATTTTTTTTTGTTTATTTTTTAATAATTCATGTTTATTATAGTCATTATACAGAGAATTTCAATAAAAACTATACAAATGATACAAAAATAAATCAAACATCTTACAAAGGGCCCTTAAATCATTAAAAATCATTAAAAATCAATAAAAATCAATCATTGAAAATCATTGAAAATCAATCATTTAAAATCATTGAAAATCATTGAAAATCATTGAAAATCATTGAAAATCATTGAAAATCATTGAAAATCATTGAAAATCATTGAAAATCATTGAAAATCATTAAAAATCATTAAAAATCATTAAAAATCATTAAAAATCATTTAAAATCATTTAAAATCATTGAAAATCATTAAAAATCATTAAAAATCATTTAAAATCATTTAAAATCATTTAAAATCATTTAAAATCAGTGAAAATCTTTAAAAAATCATTAAGAATCATTAAAAATCGTTAAAAATCATTAAAAAATCATTAAAAATCATTAAAAATCATTTAAATCATTTAAAACTCTTTAAAAATCAATAAAAATCTTTCTCCTCCCTCATGTTTTTCTTTTCAATGGAACATTTTTACATATTTTTATTACTTTTTGATATATAAATTGATGACCAAGCTTGTGAATTTTTTCCAAAGATTTTTTCTTCTTGCAACCTTAAAGCATTTAAAAATGTAATTAAAGAACCTATGGTCTCTTCTGTTCTTAATCTACTTCACTTTGAAATATGACATTTTTCAAGCATTTTCTGTTCAACAATGGTTTTTTTAGAGTTGTCAAGTGGAGGATTTTTTTCTACCAAGAATGATCAGCAGTATTACTGGCCAAACGACAGTTCCTATTGGCGATGGCGTTATATCTACTTTAGATACATGCATCGGTATATAAAATTTTTAATTTTACCGATTTATATAAAAATATAATTTAATTTCTTTTTAGGTTTCGAAATTTGCGAAGAATTGTGGTGTGGTAGCAGTTCACACATTCCGCTTTCTTTAGACGGTGTCGAAATAATTTGTAATTCCTCAGGAAGTCATACAGAGTTAAGAAAAGGTTACGTTGTCGTAGATTTAGTCAAGAATGCGACTATGAAATGCGGAGGTTGTTACGTTTATAGCAATTTAAGAGGATGCGATGGACAAAGAGTGTATTTCGATGGAGTGTCTTGTATTACATTGAATGGAAATGTGGTTGAGCAGAGCCAGGCAGTTTGCATTGAGTGAAGTTGTAAGTTTTTTATTTAATAATTTAAATGTCAATTTAAAATTTCTGGTTTTTCATATATTATGCAGTGTAGTTCCAGGTTAAGATTTGTAAATGTTTATTTTTAGTTGCTTAAAAATTTTTCGTATTTATCTTTCAGTATTATTACTAAATTAACTAAATCGTCTTAAAATTTTTCTTCATTATTTCTTACTTTAATAAATTTTTCTTTCTTCATTAAACATTTCTTTCTTCATTAAATCTTTATTTTTATTTATTAAACTTTTTTTTTTTTTTTTTTCATTAGGTCCTTCATTGAATATTTATTTATTTATTTATTGAATTTTCATTAAATCCATAAAATCTTCATTGAATTTATTAAATCTTCATTATAACAAATATTCATTAAATCTTTTTTTATTAAATATTTATTCAATAAATCTTTCTTCATTTAATCTTTCTTCATTTAATCTTTCTTCATTAAATCTTTCTTCATTAAACCTTTCTCTATTAAATAATGAATTCTTCATTATTTTTCTTTATTAAAATGTTCTTTATTAACTCTTTTTTAAATATTTATTAAATCTTTATCAAATTTTAATTAAATTTTATTAATTTTTTTTATTAAATCTTTATTATTTCTTTATTAAATATTTATTATTAATCTTTATTAAATCTTTCTTTGTTAAATCTTTATTAAATCTATATTAAAACTTTATTAAATCTTTATTTAATCTATATTAAAACTTTATTAAATATTTCTTAAATCTTTCTTTATTAAATCTAAGTCTTTATTAAAACTTTAGGAAGTTATTGCATCTACTATAGACTTGGAAGATATTAGATCCTATCGCCATTGCCTCAGATCGAATGCCACTTTAGCATCATCTTCGCTTAGTTATCCAAGAGTTGTTGTGGATTTTTCTTTATCATTAGAACACGATGCTACATTTCCTACAGCTGTTCCGATTGATTGGCACTTTCTTGAGCCCGAGGAGGAAATTGCTCAGGTAAATATTTTTTTTAATTGCTTAGACTTTGGAACCCTCTTTTCTTCACAACCAAATCTTTTAGAACTCGCATGTAAATTTTGTTCTCGAATTTGAACATAGTTTATGTTACAGTAATAATTCTTTATAGGGTCCAGCGTGTTGGTTATGGGATTATCTTAGAAGATCAGGACAAGGAGGGTTTTTCTTACCTCTAAGCGGTGGCGTAGATTCTTCAAGCACTGCAGTCATAGTTTACTCAATGTGCAATCTTGTATTGGAATCTATTCACCAAGGAGGGGGTAAGGTACAACAAAACTGTTTGAATATGATTTTTAAAGTGTTAAAGAGCCGGTAAATTTGAAAATACAGGGTAGAGAAATATAATTACTTCTTTAATTGAATCGGTGAGTGAAAGAACAATACAAGTGCCAAAAACGGTAATTTTAACTGAGATTGGCAAATTGTTTAAAATTCATAGGCCTATCACATAGCGAAAGAATAATACACCGACCAACATCATACGAGCGATGGGAGCTTGTTCAATTTTCGGCTGAGTGAAAAAACAGTACACGTACGGCGCATATACTACTTTTTCACTCAGTAGCTATGTCCTTTCGTAGACAAATTTGACACAGATTTCAAAAACTAGTACAGCCAGTTTACATACAATGGTAAAACTCCTGAATATGTTACTACAAGTGCCTTCATAGGCGGTTTTCTCTCGCACACTTTTATGTGTGGGGCGCATTAGACTGATCAAACCTAATGCCAATCTGCAGTTACCCTTATAGCGGGCATACACGCTACGGTCTGTCTGTGCAGGTGTGCCTGCACAGGTAGACATACACGCTACGACATGAAGCCGACTTTGCAGGCACACCTGCACAGGTAGACCTCTCCGGTAGATCGTTACGTGTATGCTGCTCGCCATTAGAAAATGTATACTCAGAAGTTGTCCCTATTAACGTAAAGAAGATAGCCAATATAAAGATACTTTTATTCTACTTTAGTGATGAAATCCTAGAGTTTTTACTACTATATATTATTTCTTGGAAAGTCAAAAATGAAGATTCTGATTAAAACCTTACAAATAAGTTTGTTAAATAATAATCAATAAAGCTACAAAAGAATTAAAGCATTTTTTTTTAAATTGAGTGAAATAACAGTATAACTGCAAGTCATTTTTTTCAAATATCCTTTTTTGCATAATTTTATTTTTAAATTTATGTACGTATTATTATCGATTAATAAAAATTCTATAACTTCACAATACATAATTAGGCCGAATAACCCATAATTCTCCTTTAAAACAGTTTTTTTTCGTTTTTCTCAAAATGGTCATTTTGGATATGTATTGTTCTTTCACTCACCGATTCAATTACAAAATTGAATTATCTTTAATTACTTATTAAATAATCTATTTACATATTAAAATTAATTTCATTATTTATTTGATTTCATTTTTAATTACTTATTTAAGTAATTATTTAATTACTTATTTAATTGCTTATTTAATTACCGATTTAATTACTTATTTATTTTATTTAATTACTTATAGCTATTTTAAGAAAATATTTTGGTACCAGTAGAATCTAAATCTATTTTAATATATTTCAATTTAATTTTTCAATAACAACTTGTTTAAAAAAAATATGTAGGTAAGATTTTATTCTAATTTCAGATCAAAAAGTGTTATCGGACTTAAGAAGAATACTCGCTAGTCCGGAATATACTCCGAAAAATGCGCAAGAATTGTGCAATAAAATATTGTTCACTTGTTACATGGCCAGCGAAAATTCTTCCAAAGAAACCAGAACGCGTGCGGACATCTTGGCGGGATCGCTTTGCAGGTTATAAAAAAAAATTAAACATTTTCTCTTTAGTCTGTCTCAACCCGTAGACTAAAAAACATTAAAAAAACATTAAAAAACATTAAAAAACATTAAAAAACATTAAAAAACATTAAAAAACATTAAAAAACATTAAAAAAACATTAAAAAACATTAAAAAACATTAAAAAAACATTAAAAAAACATTAAAAAAAACATTAAAAAAACATTAAAAAACATTAAAAAAACATTAAAAAACATTAAAAAAACATTAAAAAACATTAAAACCCAGTAAAAAACATTAAAAAACATAAAACATTAAAAAACATCTAAAAAGTATAGTTTATTTTCTTATTTGTAGCACTCACACGAACATCATAATCGACAAAGCGGTCACCGCTTGCATTGAAATTTTCACTACAGCGACGACTTTAATCCCGAAATTTTCATCGAACGGAGGTTGCGCTCGTCAAAATTTGGCGCTTCAAAACATCCAAGCCAGAATTAGAATGGTTTTGTCGTATCTGTTCGCTCAACTCATGCTGTGGACGAGAGGAAGACCGGGTGGGCTTTTGGTGTTGGGTAGCGCAAACGTCGACGAATCGTTGAGGGGTTATTTAACTAAATACGATTGTTCCAGTGCCGATATTAACCCGATCGGAGGCATTTCAAAGACGGATTTAAGGAGGTAATTATTTGTGTTAACGTTTTAAGTAGTGTTTAAAATATACTTATTTTTAATCGTATACACGATCTGAATACGCCCCTGTGCAAGCACGCGCAAAGAGACAATATTTTAGAAGAAAAAAAACAGTCACATATTTATAATTATCATTTTTTAGGGTTCTGGCTTTATTAATCATATTTCTAGTATTCTTCTAGAGTCCTTATTGATGAAAATGTTTATTTTTATTTTCCCTCTAGTTCGCATTCTCTTGTAAGACTTATTTTTCTTTGCTTCCAATGATAGTTTCGTCACTTTTTTTATTTTCACCCCAATTTGTTTCAATATCTTTTTTGGATCCACGTTGGGCGCCAAATAGAAAAGATTCATGCGGTATTTATTCTTTTTATGTCTAAATTAAAATTTATTTTCTAGATTTATGAATTACGCCAAAACAAAGTTCAATTTACCGATTTTAAATGATATTATAGCCGCCCCGCCTACAGCCGAATTGGAGCCATTGAAACAAGGCGCTCTGGCTCAAACTGACGAAGAAGACATGGGAATGACTTACGAGGAACTTAGTCAGTATGGTAGATTGAGGAAAATCGAATGTTGCGGGCCATATTCGATGTACTGTAAGTTGGTTCAAACGTGGTCGTCGAAGTATACGTCAAAACAAGTTGCTGAGAAAGTGAAGCATTTTTTCCGGTAAGAAATATTTCGTTTTGAAACTGGTTTTGAATTGATTATAATACATATTTTTTTTTATAAATTTTTGTGTTTTATAAAGTTTTTCTAAATTTTTTTTTATAATTTTTTTATATTTTTATCTTTTAAATTTTTTATAAATCTTTTATATATATATATTTTTTTAATTAATGATTTTTTATACATTTTGTGCTTCATAAAATTTTATTAATTTTTAATTGTTTTCATAAATCTTTGTACATTTTTTAAATTTATAAATGTTGTATAAATTTTTTCTTTTCTAAATTTTCTATATATATTTTTATAAATTTTTAATTTTTTTATAAATTATGCATTTTTCTTTTTTAAAATTTTTATGTTTTTATTTTTTCATAAATATACATTATTTGTTTTATAAAATTTTTATATTTTTTTATTAGTGTCATCTGTTTTGCAGAATTACCAAAGTATTTTTTTTAGGTGTTACGCTATTAACAGGCATAAAATGACTGTCGTTACACCATCATACCATGCCGAATCTTATAGTCCAGAAGACAATAGATTTGATTTACGTCCATTTTTGTATAGAGCCAACTGGTCTTGGCAGTTTAGAGCCATCGATAAACAGGTTAGTTTTAAGGAATCCTAACTAGAATACTCATAAACATTTAGAATCATTTAAAAATCCACATGCACAGGATTCGATTCGATATGAGATTAGAAATACAAAATGGCGAATCCAATAAGGCGGCCGAAAATATTAAAAATTGTTTGTTTTGCATAAAAATGGAACCGACGAGGGTTCTAAGGGGTTTTTGAGGTTGCTGATTTTGAATATGACATTAAAAATTAGAAATGCGTGATGGCGGATCCAATATAGCGCTGAACATATTAATTTTTTTATCTTGAATAAAACGAAACCTGAGGGGTTTTCGAGGTCAATTATTTTGAATATGACATTAAAAATTTGAAACGTAAGATGGCGGATCCAATATGGCGCTGAACATATTAAAAATGGCTTGTTTTGCATAAAAAGAAATTTGAGGGGTTTTAATGAGGATTTCGCGGTCGATAAGTTTGAATATGACATTAAAAATTAGAAATACTGATTGGCTGGCGGGTCCAATATGGCGCCCTAAAATATTAAAAATTGAAATGAAGGGGTCGTTGATTTTGAATATGACATTAAAAATCTGATGTGTCCAACACATGACTTTCCTATCTAATTATTATAGGCTTTTTCCGGTTATTTTGTACAACCTATTGCAGCACCTCTATAAATGTTTAGAGGATAAACTAAATATATACATTTTCCACATACATCTAACTCGAAACATTTTTCTATAGATATTCATTGAAAACGAAAATACTGAAAAATTTTAATTTAGCACTTTTCCTTCAATTTCTTCAATACGGTCCATTTTAGAAAAATCATATAAAAAACAAAAATTATAGAGATCGATATCACAAATAACTTTTATTTAAACAATTTTCCTAAAAATTTGAATTTTATTACATTTTGTCAAATTTCTCGAATACGGACCATTTAAAAAAAATTGTATAGAGCCAAAATTATAGATAATAATATTGTAAGTAACTTTTATTTGAAGAATTTTCTTCTCCAAACGTAAATAACGGATATATTTCATTAAATATAAAAATGACCACCAATAAAGTACCCCCCCCCCCCCAAAAACTAATCAGTTCTTCGGACGATGGAATAAAGCTTAAGTTTAAAATTTGGTGTTTTTCTTTGTATCGGTTCATGACAGACACCATCCCGAAAATAGTCAAAACGGATTCAGGGGACCCCAAAACGTAAAAAACCGTCGAAAACTGGAGGTCGAAAAAAATCATGATTCCTATACTTTCCTTATCTGTATACAGATAGGAAAGTAAAAATGCCGGATGGCGGATCGAATATAGAGCTGAACATATTAAAAATTGCTTGTTTTGCATAAAAATAAACTAATAGGGGTTTTAATGAGGTTTTAGGGTCGATAATTTTAATTATACAAAATGGCGGTTCCAATATGGCGTCTAAAGTATTAAAAATTGTTTTGCACACAAAAGGGTTTCTAAGGGGTTTTCGAGCTTACTTTATATGACTTTAAAATCAGAAATACTAAATGGCGGATTCAATATACGTCCTAAAATATAAAAAAATTGCTTCTTTTGTATAAAAATGAAAACTGGTGGTTTTAAGGGGGCTTTGGGGTTACTGATTTTGAATAAAGCATTAAAAATTTAAAATGCAATATAGTGAATCTAATATGGCGTATTAAAATAATAAAAAATGTCTGTTTTGAATGAAACCAGATATATATCCAACATATTCAGCTAAAATCTGAAAGTCAACCCTGCCCTTTAAATTAACTTAAAATGTACCAAGTTCATAAATCGCGATATTTTCATCTTTTCTTGCAAAACACAATCAATGTTTTAAACTTTTGATGGTTTATCTTTACCAGTTCAAAGTGGAATATGTTGTATAAAATTAAGTTTTTAATCTCGGGACGTTTACCTTCCTGAATAGTCGAGTTGTTAAGGTACTAACTAGTAAGGACAGCCGGTTCGAATCCTGATCGCCTCGCATGAATTTTTCTAATAAAAAAAGGTTCTCAATTCATTGAAAAACAATTTTTTTAATGTATTTCCAGCGATAATTGTTTATCACGTACTCTGATTTTAATGATTCTTTTTTGTTAGAAAGAGAATACCTCAGGGGTTGGTTCCATATATATTTGATCAAGATTAAGTCATGAAAAAATTCTTTTTTACGGCCGGTTTTTTGAAATTATTTTTTTACCTGTTCGTTTAAAAATGTTCATATTTGATGTTTGTTTTATATTCAGTGCAATCTTGAATGGTATAATATATTTTTTTAGGTGGAATATATTGCAAGTGTTAAGAGAAGCGGTTCAGTAGAAAATAGTTTTAGTTCAAGGACAAAAAATAGTGATGCTTCTAGTAGATTACGTGCTGGAGTTGCAGTTTAACGATTATTGCATCATAAAAGTATATCAATCTCGCGATATATTGATCCAGTTGAATTCTATTATAGATTAACTTTACTGTAATTGTTAATTAGATAATAAGACGGTAGCAATATACAATTATTATGATTTTATATTTATACACTCGTCTTGTTTAGTCGTCTTACTGTTACTATTTTAGATCTATTTTAATAAATACCTTTACAGCCTAATTTTGTTTTTGTATTTTAGTTTTTATTTACATTTCATGATATCCTAACGTACATATTTTTATTCGTAATTACTAAATACGCCTCCGTATAATTGCGAATTCTCGATAGCAAATTATTATTTAAAACGTAAAATATTGACTCTAAATTTAATGAATTTAGAGATTCGTTTCTCAACCAGTCTCGTTCCCTTCCTTATTACAGATAATAAAAATATGCTGCGTTGTTACACAAAAAATTGCTTTTCGCATTTTTAAAATTTTTGCAACCGATTTAACACCCTGATAAATCATGCATTTATTTAAAATAATACGAAAAGTTCAGGACACAGTCTAAATTAAAAAACAATACACACTTATGAGAGTTATGAGTCGCCCTGTATAAAATATGCGTCACCAAGAAGCAATCACCTTAAATTGTATTTTCATGATGCAATGATTTTTGTTCGTTTTAACGGCATAAAAAATTATTTATTTTTTTCAATTTGTAGGAAAACCATTTTTTCATAAGAAAGTGAAGTACATTTATGAAATCTGGTAAAAACTATACAGGGTGTGCCATCTCAGACGACCCACCCCGTATATTTCTTATCCTATAGTAATTGGAAAAATTTCTCGAAACACGTCGGACAATTAATTTTTTTTAATAATGTGATTTTTTTCATACACCGTTGTAAAGAGGCTTCAAAGACCTTACAAATGAAGTATCGCTCAACCTCTCTTCCCTATTCAATTTTGAGGGGTTGAAGCGCACCCTCATAGGGGGTTGCTCGTTCAAGCCTCAAATATACGTCAAAAGATGTCCCCCTAAGAAAATCATCCGAAGTGTTTCGGGGAATTTTTCCAATTACTATGAGATAAGAAATATTCGGGGTGGCTCGTCTGAGATGGAACACCCTGTATATTAAAACTTATCATTTTTATCACCACTAGACAATTTCGGTTTACTTTGTATATTAAATTAGGATATGAAATTTAACATATTTGACCTGTACATTTTTGAAACAGGTTTTTCTTTTTTGCATTTTCTACGAGTTTCATGTTACATCAAGAAACATAATTTAGCAAGTTACTTCAATACATCAGCGATAAAACAATAAAATTTCACGTCAGAAAAATACTATGAAATTATAATAAAATATTTTATTCAAATTAAAACAAAAATATATTTTAATATTCTTAAAAATAAAAGGACATCCTGTATAAATTTTGTGTTTTATTTGTAACTATTCCGGTCTATACAATTCTATAACAGCCGAGTTGCTGGAAACCCTACTAACCCGCGGCAAGCTTATCGCAGTGTGAATTACCGCAAGAAATCTTGCTCGTGTCCAGCAGTTGCCGTATGCTAGAGAGATGCTGCCACGTGATCCAAGACTTCCAATGTTTTTTCTAATTTTGTGTCGTTTGCCAAACTAAATATATTGTACATATTAAAAGTTAAACATTAATTTCTTATTCTCAACATATTTTTAGCAACCTAATAGATATTTATATGAAGAAATTATCTGAAATAACATAGTAAACAATGTGCAGGGTAGTATTTGAGATATTAATTATGCTTTGAGTGAGAGTGTTGCCCATATTAGGGTTTTGTAAAGATGAATTAAAAATGAGAGAATTTGCTGCAGTTGGTGCAAAAATTAGAAACATTTACAAAAATGTTACCCTATAGAAAAACATGGGCTAGGCACAACTGAAATAAAAATCTGATGTGTCCAACACATGACTAGTTATTATAGGCTTTTTCCAGTTATTTTGTACAACCTATTGCAGGACCTCTATAAATGTTTAGAGGATAAACTAAATATATACATTTTCCACATCTAACTCGACACATTTTTCATAAAATATAAAAACGGCCTCCCATAAAGTACCCCCCCCCCCCCCCAGATGTTCTGACTTCGTCCAAAATTTAATGTTTTTGCCTTTATCCGTTTTTGAGTTTTCTTCAAAATTCGAAATTTACACATTTTCTCAAATATCTCGAATACGGTCCATTTTAGAGAAATTATGCAATACAACTTTTATTTGAACAATTTTTATAAAAAATTATTTTTTTTACATTTTGTCAAATTTCTCGAATACGGACCATTTTAGGAAAATTTTATATAGATAATAATATTGTAAGTAACTTTTATTTGAAGAATTTTCTTCTCCAAACGTAAATAACGAATATATTCCATAAAATATAAAAATCACCACCAGTAAAGTACCCCCCAAATGTTCAGAATCTAATCAGTTCACCGCAGGCCGGAATAAAGCTTAAGTTTCAAATTTGGTGTTTTTCTTTGTATCGGTTCATGAGTTATGGTGGATACAGACACACACACAGACATCATCCCGAAAATAGTCAAAACGGATTCAGGGGACCCCAAAACGTAAAAATCCGTCGAAAACCGGAGATCGAAAAAAATCATGATTCCTATACTTTCCTTATATCTGTATACAGATATGAAAGTAAAAAACGTATATACTCGACATTACTGGTATAAAGCAGGGCAAATATTGTTTTCTACTAAAAAAATTGGTCATTGTGATATCGTTCGCATAAAGCAGGACAGACACCAAGTATTTTTGACTAAATCAAAATCTTATTTCGTTCAATTCTCCGAAATAGTTTTTTAGCCGGCAAAAAACATGATTCATGAAAGACTTTTTAGCGGTTATATACATTATTTGTACTTACTGTCTAAACTGGAGTCTGTAGCATGGTTTGTTACCAACATGTCTTGCAGTTTTCGCATTTTTCTTTTTATTTTCCTATATTTTTCTTTGTCACATTTTTGTTTCGGCATTGATACGTACACTTCAACACAACAAAGAATGATGAGGTGTATCGGGTTGTCGATGATAAGCATGGAATGTAGCAGCGGAGTACCCAAAAATTTTTAGTATTTTTAAAAATGTGAAATAATCGTACACTTCGATCAATCGAGAGTATACTACATATTACAATTTAATTTAATCTAAACTATAGGCAACTTGATGTACAAACAAATGTAATAGTTGTCTACACTGAAATCATCATATTTAATTTGAGAATAAAAAAATACTTTCTTACATACAATTTTATTTCAAAATTGGTATTACACTTATGTAAAATATACATAATATAAATAAACACTCCATCGCGTTGTTGTTAAAAATAACACAACAAACAAAAACAATCTTAAAAATGTGACAGAAATCATAACACCTATTTATTAATTTATTGCAACAATTTTGTGTACACAGTACCAAAAATTTAGAATCAGGAATTACTAGGAAACTGCTAATAAATTGTTAAGAAATTGCTGACGCATTTCTAGATAATTTATAAAAAATTATGGAATTAAATAATAAAGAAGAATTACATGTTTAAAACAAGAGAGAGTGAGGAAATAACAAGTTTAAAGAAATTGCTGGGGAATTGGCTTGAAATTGTAAGAAATTGCTGATGAATTGCAGGAATTGTATAATACAAATTTTGACCTATAGTCGTAATTCAACTGTGATGTATTATTTAGAATGATTTGTATAAAATTGTCACGAGACAAAAAGCTGCAATAAGAATGTGTAAAGCTAAATTGTGGTAACTATTCGACACTTTCTAAATCTGTAATTTGTAAAATAAGTTTGGTTTAAAAGGTTAAAAATATGTATCATATTATTAAAGTATTTAAACCCATATAATTAAAAAATTAATAAATATAGCATCAAATAAAAAATATTTTAAATTATACAATAGTGGTCAAACATGGCATTGCGAGTTTCAATACGTAATTTCGCGTTCGAATACGGAAATATAATATTTCTTGTTTGAATACGAAATTTCGTGTTTAAATACGGAATTCTGATTTTTAATAAAGAATTCTGTGTGGTAATACCTACAGTATTCCGTGTTTTAATAAATAGTTCCATATTTTATTACGGAATTTCGTTTTTGAATATGCAATAACGTATTTGAATAAAGAATTCCGTTTTCGAATATGGAATTCTGCTGCGTCTGAATAGGAAATTACGGGCTTTCAACTGGAATTGTCTACTTCGATAATAAATATCGATTTTGAATACGAGATTCCATATTTGAATAAGGAATTCCGTGTTTGAATATAGAATTTCCGGTTTTAGTACAGATTTCCGCATTTGAGAATGGATTGTTGTATTTTAATAGTTAATGTTTAATAAGAATTTCCTTGTTTGAATATATAATTCCGTTTTTTGAACATTGAAATTCCGCGTTTCGGAAATTTCAGCTTAAATGCGGAATACCGTTTTTAAATATGGAATTCCATGTTTAAATACGGAATTTAGTGTATGAGTAAGAATTTTCGCCTTTAAATACAGATTGTAGAGTTTGGAAACAGAATTCCGAGTTTTAATAAAGAATTCAGTTTTTGAAAATGGAATTCCGTGTTAGAATATGGATTTACTAGCTTTAATAAAGAATTCGGTGTTTTAATAAATAAAAAATTTCATGTACGTATTCAATTCAGTTTTTAAATATGAAGTTTTGGGTTTTCGTGTTTTAATAATAAGTTTCCTGTTTTAATGCGGAATTTCATATTAAAATATGGAATCCTGTATTTGAATAAGAAATTTCGTTTAAAAATGCGTAATTTCGATTTTGAATATGGAATTCCATGTTCAAATATACAAGCCCGTGTTTCAATATGAAATTCCTTGTTTGAATAAGTAATTCTATGTTTAAACATAAAATTTTGTTTTTGAAAATGGAATTCATTATTTGAATACGGAATTCCATGTCTTATTGAGGAATTTCGTGTTTGAATAAGAATTTTCGCCTTTAAATACGAATTGTAGAGTTTGGAAACAGAATTCTGAGTTTTAATAAAGAATTTTGTTTTTGAAAATAGAATTCCGTGTTAGAATATGGAATTACGTGCTTTAATAAAGAATTTGGTGTTTTAATAAAAAATTTCGTGTATGCATACGTAATTCCGTTCTTAAATATAAAGTTTTGAGTTTCCGTGTTTTAATACGGAATTTCATATTAAAATAAGGAATTCCATGTTTTAATACGATATTTCGTTTTAAAATAAAGAATCCTGAATTTGAATAAGAAATTCTATACCTTAAGAAATTTCGTGTAAAAATGCGCAATTTCGATTTTAAATATGGAATTCCATGTTCGAATATACAATCCCGTGTTTTGATATGGAATTCCTTATTTGAATAGGTAATTTCATGTTTAAACATAGAATTTTGTTTTTGACAATGGAATTCCATGTTTTAATAAGGAATTTCGTATTTAAATACAAAATGTCTGGTTTGAATACGGTTTCTGCATTTTAATATAGATTGTATTAAAATAGAGTTCCATGTTTTAATAAGAAATTTTTTGTTTTAATATGAATTCTGTATTCGAACACAGAATTCCATATTCGAACACGGAATTCAAATAAGAAATTCCGTATTCAAATAAGAAATTCCGTATTCAAACACGAAATTTAATTCCGTGTTCGAACAAGAAAATTTTTTCTTTAAACACGGAAATTTATATTCAAATTAGAAATGTCTCATTTAAATGTAGAATTTCATGTTACAATCGGGATTTCACAATTAAAAAAATGTGTCCCTTCTATGCTGTCGTAAAATTAAATTAAAATTAACATAATTTTTTTTTATCAAGAAAAAATAATTCGTTTATGTATAAGATTTTCCTTTACACCTCAAATAAATACCACGATTTTAAAACGTCCAGCATTTCAAAATGAATAATAGTTAAATGGTAAACATAAAAATGGCAAAATAACATTTTAATAAAATAATATATTCTTAATTGAAAAAAAAAAACAAAGACTGAGGGTGGCCTTTCAAATACGAAACGTCACATACAAACTTTTTATTTTATTTGTACTAATTAAGCCATATTGGATCTGAAAATAAAGTAAATTCAGGAATAAAATATATTCAGTTTTTTTCAGGTTTGTTTTCACACTTCAGGAGTTCTGAAATTTATCCTCGAACTTCCAAAAAATCTTTTATGATAAATTTCACTTTTTATCTATAATAATCGTTAACTAAAAAATAATATTTTTTAAAATCCCTAAACATAATCACAAACTGAAAATTCGATTTTTCACTATTATAAAATCATTTTTTCAACTTTTGTAAACAACCTCATATCTCTTACTCTTTTTTTATGCTTATTCCAATAAATTTTCGCCACCCTGTATATGAAAAAAATCAAACTAATTAAACGAAAAAAAAAAAACACCTATTGTTTGATGTACTGCTCCACATATTCGATACCACTTTTCAATATGATTTTCTCTGTCGTTCTCATTCTAATCGCTAATCGTTGATTGACGCTCAATCGTTTTTCTTGTAACAATTTTAAATCTTCTTCGAGAGTCGTTTTATAAATGGCTAAAAGCAATTTAAGACGAGCTTGAAGAAAAATCCAAGATTTCTTTTCGAGACTGGTATCTAGGGCGCATTCTAAGTATTGTATGTCGTCTGATCGGTCGTTTTCCAGCCAATGGCGTAGTTGGTCTAAAACAATTGAGAAAAGGTAATAATTATGTGAAATATGTGAGAAAATAAAAATCATAAATAATTATCTTAAATTTATACAACGAAAAGTATGAATAATTATTTGTACTCAGAATATCTTAATCTAAAATACGGGGTTCCTCAAAGTTCAATCCTGTGGTTTTCCTGTTCTGAATATATTCGTCTTATATCTCATCACGAATCCACTTTTTAAATTTTCATTTTCATGCAAGTGAAACACAATTATTATTATTAATATTAAATTATTATTAAATTAGTATTAAATTAGTATTAAATTAGTATTAAATTATTAGTATTAAATTAGTATTAAATTAGTATTAAATTAGTATTAAATTAGTATTAAATTAGTATTAAATTAGTATTAAATTAGTATTAAATTAGTATTAAATTAGTATTAAATTAGTATTAAATTAGTATTAAATTAGTATTAAATTAGTATTAAATTAGTATTAAATTAGTATTAAATTAGTATTAAATTAGTATTAAATTATTATTAAATTAGTATTAAATTAGTATTAAATTAGTATTAAATTAGTATTACATTAGTATTAAATTAGTATTAAATTAATATTAAATTAGTATTAAATTAGTATTAAATTAGTATTAAATTAGATTAAATTAGTATTAAAGTAGTAATAAATTAAATTAGTATTAAACTGACTAGTATTAAATAAGTAAGTATTAAATAACTTACTAAAGATATTACAATACTTATATACAATACAATATTAATTGTAAGATATTGTTGTAGATAAATAAATAAACAAAGATTTTTAACGTTTGATGTATTCGTATGATTTACAGCATTCACTTAAAAGGCACAGTATGTTGAATGGACTTACCTTCATTCATATTGAAGATTCTCACGAATGCCAACAAACCTCCATCGATTGGAAGCGGGCCTTTCTTAATGAAAAAATTACTAGTCGGACTCATGCCCAATTTATTTAATAATTCTGCTCGTTTTTCCTGTAACGGATCGGATTTACTGATGCCCAATTTAACCCAGTAGCCATCATGAATATTGTCTTCATATACAAACCTAAACAAAGGTACGTACTTAAGTGTATTTAGATAAATTCGTTGGAAATTCAAAAATAAATTAATCCATACGAAATTATAAAAACTATTTTTGAAGTGCAAAGTTATTAAAAAATAAAAAATAAACTATTTTCCGCGAAGAATTCGAACCCCGTTCTGCCATCAGGACATTAGATGTTAATTTGAATATCAGATTCACTATTCATTACAAAAATATATTAAAAAAAAGTCAAACAGTTTATTTATACCTAATAAATTTTGTAAACATCATTCCCAATGAGCACACACTCGTTTTTTCAACGTAAATATAACGTGGTACGGTATAAAAAACGTTATTGGTTGAAAATTCAACGTTAAAATTTAAGTTGAAAAATTATACGTATAAAAAGTACACTTTCTAACGTATTTTTTAGCTACTCTTAACTGATTTTTGAAAATTTAATAAAATAATACGTTTTTTTATAATGTTTTCTTGTTTATATGGAGGTTTCGTCCTCCTCCTCACAGAATCTACACTCACTGTCTTCTATTACTCTCAGTTTACTAAGGCGTCCTTTTAGTCGGCAATGCTCAGTAAGGATATTCTAAAAGTTGCTCACCTATGTGATTGGTGTCGATGCTTCTCCATACGGTGCTGTGCGCGTTGCGTCGCATCCAAGAAACAATGGTAGATGCCTTCTCTGGCAGTACTCCACTAGCCTCGATACTTCCGAAGGTGGTTTAGGCCCATCTCCGGCGAAGTGACTAGAAGCTATTACTATGTCTTGTCGCCTCATCCCTAATTCCAGGTGTGCTCGAATTGGGACGAGATCACGCGTCATGAATTCTGAAAGACAAGAATATTTAATATTATTTCTTACCATTATGCATGTTCTAGGTACTTCATCACTAGTGTGATAAATTACCCTTGCATCCTTACATGCAAGTCCACTTACCTGGTTCCGTAAGCCCACGGTTCCTGGATCAGTACAATCCCTACCTGCCCTGGAGATCACATATACATAATATCAACATTAGTTTAAATTAAATGCAAGTCTTACGAAACGTTATTGAATTCCTACCTTTTAACATTTGGTTAATACCGGAAACTAAATATCTACGTTGTTTCAATATTAATTACTTAAGTATATTTTAATATTGTTTTTAAAAGTTGTTATGTAACTAAAATCCGATAATTTTGTTAAATATACGTATAATATTAACGTACATAAAACGTTATTGTATTTAAACCTTTTAACGTTCTAAGAGAGGGCGCACCAAAAAACAGACTGTTCCAACTCTCTAAGTCGTAAACGCTACGAATGATATAATGAAACTCTATGAATGGTAATTCAGTCAAGACAAAAGAAGCAGATTCATATTTATATATTTGCTTTTGTCTATACTGTTTGAATATTATATTAAACTTATTTCAGATGGAAGTATAAATAAAGAGTTGTTTTACAACGTTTAACTATTGCATAATAATAAACGTTTAATTGTTGTTTAAAAATATACGTGTAATTAATACGTAATAAAATATTATTTGGTTGGCATATAAACGTTTCTATATTACGTATTTTCAAGTGATTCAAAAAATAAAAATGAAACCGTTGCAATATTACATATGATTATAATACATTTATTCGAAATCAACCGATATTTCTTCTTTTTCATGTTAGAAACTATGTAAAATTTAACGTATTAGATAGTATCTAAAACGTTACAAACATACGTTAATTTTAAATGCAATTTGTGGTTGTGATAACGTTATTTTCCGCGACATTTAAACTCTCTTATACGTTTGGTTGTTGACCTTTTTTTAACGTACGTGTGCTTATTGGGTTGACGAAGGTAAATAGTAAAAACTTCATTAAGGAAAAAAAAATAATGGTGAACGAATAATCTGTATTTTTATATTTCTCCTATTTCATATTTCTTTTTTCTTCGCATTATGTAGTTCTAATGTAATTGTTTAGTATTGTGATTATTCCTTTAAAAATTTCTTTATTTAAATTTTTTTTATTCTGTTTTTATACTGTTTTTCGCATTTTCTTTTCTTTGTAGAATGCTTAATTTGTTTTACAAATAAATATATTATTGCTTGGTGAAATAATTTTTAAACTAATCACAATTTATAAGGAAATATATCATTTTTTATTTTTTTATTACAATTATTTTAATGTATGGAAATTTTTTTTTATTCTTTCATTACTTACCCGTTGTGTATGAAAAGTTCTGCATTAGTTCTGGCACCGTAGAAAATGAAAAACTGTTCGCCCGGTTGATAATTTTTTAAAGCCAGGCATTCACACCTTTTTTGATCGGGATTATAATCAGTGGTAATCTAGATATAAAAAAAGTAAAATATTTGTATTTAGTAATGTAAGTAATCGAAAAAGAATAATTTTTCTATTGTGATCTGACATTAAGATCTAGTAAATAGTAAAAAACATGTTTTTCATAATTTACCATACTGAACAAATAAAGACACTATTAACCTACTGAAATCAGGCGACTAAGTTACAAAAACTTGAAGGTACATGATGAATTGTGACTAATATTCATTAGAAAAATCGGAAAAACAAATACGGACTATTAATTGGATTAACTTTTCTTACACAAGTACAGTCCTGGATTTAGAAATCTTCTATATCTATACTTTTCTTATTTTTGAATTTTTTTAAAGTTATTCGAAAAGATGTTTATTTTAACGTCTCCTATACACAGTTAAGAAAGTATAAACTTAGGATTCACCTTGTATAAGTAGTAACTTGTATTGACAGTAGAGGGCGTACCACTTATTTTCAGATCCCAATAATTTAAAAATTGTAAAAGGAAAATTCAGACGAAACTTGCTACACAAAAAATATTTACAATTTTTTCATTTCAAAATTGAAGAGCTTATTGGAAAAATGTGACAAGCCACAAAATTAATTTATTAAGAAAACACGTTTCAAAGGTCTAAATAAATTTTAAAAACTGTTGTAACTTTGTTAAAATTCAATAACTTTATTTTTCGGCTAGTGATGGCATTTGTTGGAGAATGTCCATTTGGTATGTAGCTTATCACGTTTTTACAATTCCTCTTCAATTGATTTGAACCTTTTTCGCTATTTTGTTAATTTAAATACTATACCTGTCCATTTGTGTGATTACACATATCCCAAAGAGGAATTAACGCATTGACCGTAAACTCGCCATCTTCGGAAGGAATTGTGTTTTGCCTGGTCATAACTGTAGACACTGCCCAACTGAAAAGAAACAAATTTAATTATTAGAGAGTTATTGGATGCGATCTAGAGTTTTACCCATTAGAACATAGAAAATTGTATACGTAATCACTTGTTTCAGTAGTCGACGCCTTGACCATTAGACAACATTCTAAGAACGTCTTTTAATAAGGAAAATCATAAATAAACAGTGCTTCTTATTTGTACAAAAATATTAAAAATAAAGACCTGTTAAAAGTTAATCTAACTCTAAAATGTTCCACTTCTTAATAACTAAAATTACAAATAATGAGAAATAAAATTTTTAAAAAAGCTGGACAAAAAAAAAATAATTCCAATTGCCGGGTTATGATTTTATATGTAAAGATTAAACTTTTTCTTCCTCTTTAGGTATAAAAGAATGCACCAATTAAAAAATACATAATAAATTACGTATTCATATGGGTTTTACTACTTCCTATTATTTCTACTTTTTAATTTTAATTAAAGACAATCTCAAATAGCATGCGTTTTAAATATAAAAGTAGGTGGTCAATTTAAAATGCGACAGTAAAAAAATATTCTTAATTATACCATAAATCATTATTCTAGTTTTTATAGTTTGTTCTTACATAATTTTTCGGTTTTGATTTTCTTGGTTTGCAACTCATTAATTTTACTTTTAAAAAAACTGTAGCTTTACTTTAATTTAAACACTTAGAACCCAAGAAAACCAAAATCAAAAATGGTAGAGAATTATGTTTATATTTATAAGTAGAAAATCAAAAGGTACATTGGAAACATAGATTTATCTAGCAAAGCTTCTCTTTTTCTCTTTTTTTTTTCTTAATTTAGAGAAAAAAAATTGAAGCGATTTTTAGTGTACAAATACTGATTCAATCACTAAGAAACAACCGTTACAATTTCCACACATCAAAGTAACAAGAAAACAATTTTAAGAAGATGTTTTGTTTTCTTTTCATATGAGAATTCCCCACTGTGTAGAAAAAGAACCAAAAAAATGTATATGGAGTGAAATAAATATTTTTTAATAATGTCCTTTTACAGATCCGGTTGGCAGTTTTCTTTACCCAATTGACCAACGTTACTAGGAACATTCTCATAAATTTTTAGTGGTTTGGCGGTTTTTTGCATAATAAGCCTCAATTAATATCTGATTAATCCCAATAAAGTCGTGGTAACGAACTTCATGGTTCGATTATCGTCATCCGATTGTAGTTACATAATAATATCCAACACCAACAGTTTTCAGTTTTAAATTTTAAAATTAGCGAAATACTTTCGATTTTTTACAGAGAATCGAGTGAAAACGGAAAATTGAATTTGCCGCGGCCAGAGGCGGCTTTAAAAGGTTGACCAAATTATTTTCACTTCGAATATAGCAGCAAAATTAAAAGATTTATTTAAAAAATATTTTAAATATCAATGAACATCATTAAATATCGTTAAATATAGTCAAATATCATTAAACCTTTGTAAATATCGTTAAATATTGTTAAATATCGTTAAATATCGTTAAATATCGTTAAATATCGTTAAATATCGTTAAATATCGTTAAATATTGTTAAATATTGTTAAATTTTGTTAAATATCGTTAAATATCGTTAAATACCGGTACATATCGTTAAATATCGTTATATATAATTAAATATTGTTAAATAGCGTTAAATATCGTTGAATGACATTATATATCATATAATCTATCTTTATATATCGTTATATATCTTTATATATTGTTATATATCGTTATATATCGTTATATATCGTTATATATCGTTATATATCGTTATATATCGTTATATATCGTTATATATCGTTATATATCGTTATATATCGTTATATATAGTTATATAACGTTATATATCGTTATATATCATTAAATATTGTTAAATAGCGATAAATATTGTTAAATAGCGATAAATATCGTTGAATGACATTATATATCGTTATATATCTTTATATATCGTTATATATAGTTATATAACGTTATATATCGTTATAAATCGTTATTTATCATTATATATCGTTAAATACCATTAAATATAATTGAAAACGAAAAAATGGATTTGTCGCAGTCGGAGGCGGGTCATAAACATATTGGGCAAATTATTTTCACTTGGAGCCTACCAGCAAAATTAAAAGATTTAATCAAAAAATATATTAACAATAAATGTCAATGAATATCAATAAATATCAATAAACATCAATAAATATGATTAAATAACATTAAATATCGATGAATATCAATAAATATCGGTAAAAACCGTTAGATATCGTTGAAACGGAAAAATGGATTTGTCGCAGTCAGAGGCGTACCAAAAAGATTGGGAAAATTGTGTTCACTCGAAACATAGCAGCTAAAAGATTTAATTAAAAATATATTAAATAATAAATATCAAAAACCATCATTAAAAAATAAAAATAAATATCAATGAACATAATAATATACGATTAAATATCGTTAAATGCCATTAAATATCGGTAAATAACGGTAAATATCGTTAAATATATTTAAATATCATTAAATGTAGTTTAATATCGTTAAATATCGTTATATATTGTTAAATATCGTTAAATATCGTTAAATATAGTTGAATATAATTGACTGATTAATAATAATCATAATAATACCCCTAATGCATTCCTTAACGAGTGAATTTCAACCCCAAAGGGGACGGCAATTATTATTACTATTTGTTGGAAAACCTTACCCACTAACATCGAAATGCACTACAATTTGTAATTTGGATACCATATCAACAGAAATTAAATTTTTGCTAATACAGCAACCACCAAATCCAACGACAAACCATGCAAATTAAAAATCCACTTGGTCTGCAATAGGACTCGAAGCTGTGTTCGCTAAGGCACTGAAAAGGTCGCAAATGAATAGGCACCCGCTCGAACGTATTGCGCTACTAAATCTATAATTAAATATAATTGAAAATAATGAAATGAATATAATCGAATATAATCGAATATAATCGAATATAATCGAATATAATCGAATATAATCGAATATAATCGAATATAATCGAATATAATCGAATATAATCGAATATAATCGAATATAATCGAATATAATCGAATATAATCGAATATAATCGAATATAATCGAATATAATCGAATATAATCGAATATAATCGAATATAATCGAATATAATCGAATATAATCGAATATAATCGAATATAATCGAATATAATCGAATATAATCGAATATAATCGAATATAATCGAATATAATCGAATATAATCGAATATAATCCAATATAATCGAATATAATCGAATATAATCGAATATAATCGAATATAATTGAATGTATTTTAATATAATTAAATATAACATGCTGATACCGCTTTTCGCTATTGATTTTTTTTTAATTTCAACTTCCCTTAACTACGCTTTTTTATTAATATGCTGCGTCCCCTCATATAGCTACTGTGTAAGGAGTATAATAATGAAAAAATCGGAAATAAATGACAACAAAAACACCTTTTGTAGATTTTGTCATTTTAAAATAGGTAGTTAAAATTGAAAAAAATGTTAAATTATTTATACTGTAAAATATTTTGTAGCCTTTAATAATTTGTAGCAAATGCGTAAACTGTAATGTCTGCATCTCTGGATACGCCACTGAGACGAATTAATTATAAAGGAAAATAGATGCACTACACTACACAATGTTTTGCAATTCCATGTATGGTTCCTCTTAAAAATACCATCAATAATCGTTACTAAGCTTTTACATAACTTTCTCTTCACTAACAATAGGCCTGTGAAAATAAATATCTACATATTTGTTTAATAATATCGTCATTATCATCAATGGTACGTATACACACGTACATACACAATGCTGTTGATGGCGAAATAGTTGTAGGTTGTAGCAGATTTTTTTGTCAGATATTTGTATAATTAAAAGTTGTCGTTGTGCAGGGTTAAGTAATTGTTCTTGTGCGCTGAACCGCAGCATTAAAAATTTAATTAAGTGAATATCAGATTCCTAAGGAACTAAATAAATTAAATTAAATGAACATCAGAATCATAAGGAACTAAAAAAATTAAATTAAGCAAACATTATTCTACGGAACTAAAAAAATTAAATTTAGTGAATATCAGAATCCTAAGGAACTAAAAATGAAATTAAGTGAATATCATACCGCGGGCAAGGAGTAAACAAGGAACAGAGACGGCTTCGCGTCACAATCTTTATGTGATTTGACATAACATTTCAAAGAAAATGATTTATAAATTTCGGAAAATATATAACATTTTTATTATATCCTAATTTCAATATAGAAAAAAATACGTGTGGCACTCGGGGACTGCCGCGGTAAAGCTATTGCATAGCATTTTTTATCAACTTATGCAATTATAATTATTTATTTATTTTATTTATGCAGTATTTTTTTTCTTTGATATTAATTTAAGTTTTTTCTTTGATATTAATTCAAGTTACACTTTTTGAGCGTGGTGAACGATAAGAAAAGACATTTTTTTCTTTTATTGAATAAATGAGAAGTTAATATTGTTTAAAATATTTTTATTATCTTACAATACATGTAGGTTATTTTGTATTTTTTATCATTGAAACTATAGGTTTATTGTAACTGAAATAAGAAACATAAGTTTGAAACTTGATATCCTCTAAATATCTGGAAAATACCGCGTCAATGGTGGTCCCATATTTTGTTGTGGATTCTTGTGGATCATTATTCATTTTCAAATTCAATTTTTCCGAAAGTGTGTCTAAAATAGATAGAATCAGTTATGAGCAGTTAGCAGCTAGTCTACACGCATACGTCTAGTCGCACGCACACAAACACCGTGCCGAAGTCTGCTGAACTGAAACGACGTTAGACGATACACGGCTTTCAACGCCGCACCGCTGTGTCGGTTGGAGTGGGGGGTGTTAGGTTTATTTTCGTTACGGAATTTCTTGATTCGGTCGCCGCGCTCAAAGCCCGTGATAAAAGCTATGCAATAGCTTAAAAAATAGAAGGAATTAAATATGCTTA